GCTGTTGTACCACCGTCAGCTGCTGCTGCTGCTGCTGTAGTACCATCTGCTGCTGCTGTAGCATCGTCTGCTGCTGCTGTAGCATCGTCTGCTGCTGCTGTAGAACTGTCAGCTGCTGCTGCTGTTGTACCACCGTCAGCTGCTGCTGCTGCTGCTGCTGTAGTACCGTCTGCTGCTGCTGTAGCATCGTCTGCTGCTGCTGTAGCATCGTCTGCTGCTGCTGTAGCATCGTCTGCTGCTGCTGTAGCATCGTCTGCTGCTGCTGTAGCACTGTCAGCTGCTGCTGCTGCTGCTGCTGTAGCACTGTTGTTGGTGTGGCTTATTGAGAATACCAAGAAACAATTAACCCCAGAGGATTTGCCACCCAGGATAACCCAAAAAAGTCAGTGTCATCGAAGACTGTCTAACTTATTTCCATTGGGGTCCTTAATCTTGTCTCCCAGGATGCAACCCACACCAGTCGACTAACACCCAGGTGAACAGGGAAAAATGCCTGGAACTAGTGCTCATATTGGTGAATTTAAAGCCAGCAAAGGTTGGTTTGAGAGATTTAAGAATCGTAGTGGCATACACAGTGTGATAAGGCCTGTTCTGGAAGAACATGCCAAACAGGACCTACAGTACTCAGGAGGAAAAGGCACTCCCAGGACACAGTGTCTCATCAGTCATTGCTGCATCTTCAATAAAGGTAAGTGTCATTTATTCTTCATTTAGTAGAGTAGTACATGCACAATATATATTGTGCATGTACTACTCTACTATTGTGCATGTATCCTTCTCTTTGTGTGTAGGAAAATGTATATTTCATGTGGTAAAAATTTTTTTTTTTTCACACTTTTGGGTGTCTTGCACGGATTAATTTGATTTCCATTATTTCTTATGGGGAAAATTCATTCGCATACCGATCATTTCGCATAACAATGAGCCCTCTTGCACGGATTAAAGTCGCTATGCGGGGGTCCACTGTACTTGGACTAGCAGGCATTGCAGAGATAGGCTGAGCACTCAAGGCAGTCCCAATAGAAAACAATAATCCAAATGATGGTTATACATGTTCATAATTATGGGTTAGATTCTGTAAGTCAGTGAACTTTGTAAATGCATATACAGTGGAACCTCTACTTACGAGTGCATCCATGTGTGAGTTTTTCCAGATATGAGCAGCCGCTCGGTTGATTTTTTGCTTCCAGACGCGAGCGAAATTTCCAGATGCGAGCGGGCCTCAAGGTTCCTTTACGCTGGTGAGGGGCTCTTGCTCTTAATTTAGGGAATTGGATCTCAGTTGTTTGGTGGACTATCTTATTGAAAGTTGGGCAGTGTATGATGGAAAGATGCTTAACGTACACCAAAAATGAAAGAAATCAGACCATAAATAACGGAGTTCACTTCTCAGCCATTAGCCTCCCTCTAGCAGTATATTTTTGTAAGGTTTTTGTAGTTGTATTCTCGTTTTTTTGGTCTCATTTGATAGAATGGAAGATATACTACAGAAACAGATATGATTTTGATTGGTTTCATGAAGAAAAGTACATTGAAATTGAGCTCAAAGTAGCAGAAAGGCTCAATTCTTTGGCGACATTCAAGAGTAAATCAATGACATCACTGTCTAATACCTGTCCGATTGGCACTGCCCCTCAACCTTCACATATTGGAAAGCTCTTCAACACTCTAGCAAAAGTGAGAGCAGACGTCATGAGGTAGCAGTGGCAGACAACATGAAGCAGCAGTGGCAGACATGAAGCAGCAGTGGCAGACATCATGAAGCAGCAGTGGCAGACAACATGAAGCAACAGTGGCAGAAGTTGTTGTACCTTATACTATAAGTGAGTTTCCGATGCTCAGTCCGTTCCACTCATGGTGGAGGGAATTCTCGTGTTTTCCTTACATTTCATGCAGTTATTTTGTGAAATCTCTTGTTTCTAACCATGGGTCCTAAGAAAGCAAGTGAAAAGGACAGTGCTGAGAAGAAAAAGAAGATGATTCTCATGGAATTAAAACAGGAAATCATAGTTAAACAAACTAAGTGGAGGGCTAAGGACTTGGCCACGCAGTACCAGCATACCACTTCTACTATATGTACAATATTAAAGCAGAAGGAGTCATTGACAAAGTGTAGCATTAAGAGTGTAGCAATTAAGTGTAGCATTAAGAGTATAGCAATTAAGTGTAGCATTAACCCTTAAACTGTCCAAACGTAGATCTACATTCGCTCGTGTAGCGCTCCGAACATAGATCTACATTTTTTTACATTCTTTCTTATGGAGAAAATCAAGGTCGGAGCGCTACACGTGCAAACATAGATCTACGTTTGGACAGTTTAAGGGTTAAGAGTGTAACAATTAAGTGTAGCATTAAGAGTAGCAATTATAAGTCACTCTGTCTGACTTTTTTTTGGGTTATCCTAGGTTCTCTACACCTGTAGTCAGGAGCAGGAATGGCTGCTGTGGTGGCCCTATAAACCTCAACAGCAACAATGGCCGCTGTCACCACCGCAAGCCACATATGTAATGACATGTATTTTATTCATTCTAGTGTATATATCATATTTCTGTGTTATTAATATTGTTTATTATGTCATATTTGATGATGTGTGATAGATAAATAAGCCAAAGAGTTGATATTAGGGAAATTATTGAAGTATTTTGTCATGCCTGGAATTCCACTGGAAAGAATTAATTCCATTTCATTTAAATTAAATGAGGAAAACTGACTCTGCAAAAAAGCAAATCCAGATGCAAGCAAGGTCACGGAACAGATTAAACTCATAAGTAGAAGTTCCACTGTATATCTGTTAATTGGTCATTTGTAAGTGGAGGATTTCCTATGATACTCTGTCTTTGCTTCAAGTGCCATGCAGTACTGTGCTCAAGTACCATGCAGTACTGTGCTCTAGTGCCATGCAGTAAGTACTGTGCTCAAGTGCCATGCAGTAAGTACTGTGCTCAAGTGCCATGCAGTAAGTACTGTGCTCAAGTGCCATGCAGTAAGTACTGTGCTCAAGTGCCATGCAGTAAATACCATGCTCAAGTGCCATGCTGTAAATACTGTGCACAAGTGCCATGCAGTAAGTACCATGCTCAAGTGCCACGCAGTAAGTATTGTGCTCATGTGCCATGCAGTAAGTACTGTGCTCAAGTGCCATGCAGTAAGTACCATGCTCAAGTGCCATGCAGTAAGTACTGTGCTCAAGTGCCATGCAGTAAGTACCATGCTCAAGTGCCATGCAGTAAGTACTGTGCACAAGTGCCATGCAGTAAGTACCATGCTCAAGTGCCATGCAGTAAGTATTGTGCTCATGTGCCATGCAGTAAGTACTGTGCTCAAGTGCCATGCAGTAAGTATTGTGCTCATGTGCCATGCAGTAAGTACCATGCTCAAATGCCATGCAGTAAGTATTGTGCTCATGTGCCATGCAGTAAGTACTGTGCTCAAGTGCCATGCAGTAAGTATTGTGCTCAAGTGCCATGCAGTAAGTACTGTGCTCAAATGCCATGCAGTAAGTACCATGCTCAAGTGCCATGCAGTAAGTACCGTGCTCAAATGCCATGCAGTAAGTACCATGCTCAAATGCCATGCAGTAAGTACCATGCTCAAGTGCCATGCAGTAAGTACCGTGCTCAAGTGCCATGCAATAAGTACTGTGCTCAAATGCCATGCAGTAAGTACCATGCTCAAATGCCATGCAGTAAGTACCATGCTCAAGTGCCATGCAGTAAGTACCGTGCTCAAGTGCCATGCAATAAGTACTGTGCTCAAATGCCATGCAGTAAGTACTGTGCTCAAGTGCCATGCAGTAAGTACTGTGCTCAAATGCCATGCAGTAAGTACCATGCTCAAATGCCATGCAGTAAGTACCATGCTCAAGTGCCATGCAGTAAGTACCGTGCTCAAGTGCCATGCAATAAGTACTGTGCTCAAGTGCCATGCAGTAAATATTGTGCTCAAGTGCAATGCAGTAAGTACCATGCTCAAGTGCCATGCAGTAAGTACCATACTCAAGTGCCATGCAGTACGTACTGTGCTCAAGTGCCATGCAGTAAGTACTGTGCTCAAGTGCCATGCAGTAAGTACTGTGCTCAAGTGCCATGCAGTAAGTACTGTGCTCAAGTGCCATGCAGTAAGTACTGTGCTCAAGTGCCATGCAGTAAGTACTGTGCTCAAGTGCCATGCAGTAAGTACTGTGCTCAAGTGCCATGCAGTAAGTACTGTGCTCAAGTGCCATGCAGTAAGTACTGTGCTCAAGTGCCATGCAGTAAGTACTGTGCTCAAGTGCCATGCAGTAAGTACTGTGCTCAAGTGCCATGCAGTAAGTACTGTGCTCAAGTGCCATGCAGTAAGTACTGTGCTCAAGTGCCATGCAGTAAGTACTGTGCTCAAGTGCCATGCAGTAAGTACTGTGCTCAAGTGCCATGCAGTAAGTACTGTGCTCAAGTGCCATGCAGTAAGTACTGTGCTCAAGTGCCATGCAGTAAGTACTGTGCTCAAGTGCCATGCAGTAAGTACTGTGCTCAAGTGCCATGCAGTAAGTACTGTGCTCAAGTGCCATGCAGTAAGTACTGTGCTCAAGTGCCATGCAGTAAGTACTGTGCTCAAGTGCCATGCAGTAAGTACTGTGCTCAAGTGCCATGCAGTAAGTACTGTGCTCAAATGCCATGCAGTACATAGAAGTTAATGGATTTATTTTACATATGACACTTGAAACCATCTGCCTACAAATTCAATGAAGTTAATTCAAGCAGCTATCATTTGCAAATAAAATTTATGCAAAAGTTTTTAGATTTTACATACATTTGGATTTTAAAGAAGAAATTAAATAGATATACAAATAAATTTTCAGAAAATGTTAATATATAATATAATATATACTGCATTACAGACATAAACTATTGAAATGCATTTAAGGGACAAATATTTTCAATGCTATAAAAGTGTGTGTTGTTGAAATGCCATAAGTTACAATGGTATAATTTTTTTTAATTATTAATCCTTTGTTTTTGCAGTGTATCCAGTCATGATATTGTTGCACTGATGGAGCAGATTGCCAGTCTCGTGAGGTTTGAATTTGAGACACTTTCCAAGTAAGTTGATTTTTTTTTTTTTTTTTTTGGTAACAGCTGTTCGGAACATAAGGATCTAAATGTCAAAAATGATGGTATATTGCGCACTACACCATTATAAAAGAATATCCTTCCTACATGACCAAGTAGGTTTTTTTCACTCAGTCTAAGGCAAGTAGATCCATAGACCCTGACATTGGTGGAACACCACAGAATTTTTATTGTAGATGGAATGAAGTGGAAATCAAGCATGAATTCTCGCTCTTCTCAGCCAAAATCTAGTTACAGATATTGCTTTGCTCAATAACTGCAATAAAAGATCCTCTGCATATACATTTGGGCTAAAATACAGTTAGGACATTTGTTTAACCCTTTGACTGTCGCAAGCCCATTTCTGAAACTGTCTTCCTATGTCGAAAAATATTCAAAACAAATAAAACAATTATTTTTTCTTACCAAAATGATAGGATTAATTTGCTGAGTGTTTTAAGCCTAAAAAAAAAATTTGTGATCAGTACTTACTGAGATATGGAGGTGTAAAGTTGGCAGAAAATGAGCTGCGTATGGCAACAGCGGTGAATGCTGCTCACCCGGTAAACTTTTTTTTTTACTCCCATTCAAAGGTTTCTTGTTTTTTCCACTTTATTTTTTCAGGTAACTTATGTGGCCTGTTAGACCAAAGTAAGGTACAATGTGCATATACACCTACCATCCGACTTACGACCTGCTTGACATATGACCATTTGACTTACGACCTTGTTTTCTGTGCCAAATTTCTGGGAAATAAACAACTGTTTGTGTTGTACACAGTGTTTATCATAAACCTTACAGCATAAAATACAGTACTAACAGCATAAAAAGTAAAGTAAAAAATGAAATACCAAAATAAAACAATAAAATAAAGTCATTACAAAAATGTGATATTGATATTCAGTAATAAGGTTTGACTTATGTCCATTTTGACTTACGACTGGTTTCTTGGAACCGAACCCGGTCGTAAGTTGGATGGTACCTGTACATATACACTCATATCCAACACAATAAGCGCACAAAAATAATTGTCAACATATTGTTTGCAAAACTTGTTTACACAAACAATACAAAAATTGTTTATTACTATTGTTCTAAAATTTATATACAAATGTACAGTCACTGGACATGTTCCTAGAAGTTCTGCAGCTTGTGGAACTCTTTGAAACATGGTTTCATACACAATGGTGTTTTACACCCCTCACACATAAAATGAGTGTCTCTGCATTTTTGTATGTGCACAGACAAAACACCTTGTCTGAGCAGTTTTCTTCAAAGTACAGTGGACCCCCGGTTTACGATATTATTTCATTCCAGAAGTATGTTCAGGTGCCATTACTGACCGAATTTGTTCCCATAAGGAATATTGTGAATTAGATTAGTCCATTTCAGACCCCCAAACATACACGTACAAACGCACTTACTACATAAATGCACTTACATAATTGGTCGCATTGGGAGCTGATCGTAAACCGGGGGTCCACTGTAGTAGCAGACATTTGTGTTAGGCAGTTATCCTAGGTAAATGGTCATGTGTCATCATTCCTTCTTTCCTACCTACCTACCTACCTTTCTTTCTTTTTTCTCTTTCTTTCTTTCTTTTTCTCTTTCTCTCTTTCTTTCTTCCTTCATTCTTTCCTTCCTTCCTTCCAGTTTCTATAATATATATACAGTGGTACCTCAGGATACAAACTTATTTCATTCCAGAAAACTGAGTGCTGATACCGAACGAATTTGTTCCCGTAAGGAATAATGTAAATTAGATTAATCCATTTTAGACCCCCAAAAATGAATTTACAAAAGCACTTACATAATGAAGGAGGGGTGTTAATGTTGCAGTTTAAAAACTGTAGTGTAAAGCACCCTTCTGGCAAGACAGTGATGGAGTGAATGATGGTGAAAGTTTTTCTTTTTCGGGCCACCCTGCCTTGGTGGGAATCGGCCGGTGTGATAATAATAAAAAAACTTACATAATTGTTCGCATTTTGAGCTGTTTGTATCCAAAGGTGCCACTGTACACATATATAGTCACTGAACACTTTCATAGAACTGCTATTATCTTCTGGAAGCTTGATATGTGTGTGTGTGTGTGTGTGTGTGTGTGTGTGTGTGTGTGTACTCACCTAATTGTACTCACCTAATTGTGGTTGCAGGGGTCGAGACTCAGCTCCTGGCCCCGCCTCTTCACTGATCGCTACTGGGTCCTCTCTCTTTCTGCTTCCTGAGTTTTGTCATACCTCTTCTTAAAACTATGTATGGTTCCTGCCTCCACTACTTCACTTGCTAGGCTATTCCACTTGCTGACAACTCTATGACTGAAGAAATACTTCCTAATGTGTGTGTGTGTGTGTGTGTGTGTGTGTGTGTGTACTCACCTAATTGTACTCACCTAATTGTGGTTGCAGGGGTCGAGACTCAGCTCCTGGCCCCGCATCTTCACTGATCGCTACTGGGTCCTCTCTCTCTCTGCTTCCTGAGCTTTGTCATACCTCTTCTTAAAACTATGTATGGTTCCTGCCTCCACTACTTCACTTGCTAGGCTATTCCACTTGCTGACAACTCTATGACTGAAGAAATACTTCCTAACGTCCCTGTGACTCGTCTGAGTCTTCAGCTTCCAGTTGTGACCCCTTGTCCCTGTCCCCCCTCTCTCGAACATCCTATCTCTGTCCACCTTGTCTATTCCCCGCAGTATCTTGTATGTCATTATCATGTCTCCCCTGACCCTTCTGTCCTCCAGTGTCGTCAGTCCGATTTCCCTTAACCTTTCCTCGTATGACATTCCCTTGAGCTCTGGGACTAGCCTTGTTGCAAACCTTTGTACTTTCTCTAACTTCTTGACGTGCTTGACCAGGTGTGGGTTCCAGACTGGTGCTGCATACTCCAGTATGGGCCTAACATACACAGTGTACAGTGTCTTGAACGATTCCTTATTAAGGTATCGGAACACTATTCTCAGGTTTGCCAGGCGCCCGTATGCTGCAGCAGTTATTTAGTTGATGTGTGCCTCCGGTGATGTGCTCGGTGTTATGGTCACCCCAAGGTCTTTCTCCCTGAGTGAGGTCTGTAGTCTTTGTCCACCTAGCCTATACTCTGTCTGCAGTCTTCTTTGCCCCTCCCCAATCTTCATGACTTTGCATTTGGCTGGATTGAATTCGAGAAGCCAGTTACTGGACCACATGTCCAGCCTGTCCAGGTCTCTTTGCAGTCCTGCCTCATCCTCGTCCGATTTAATTCTTCTCATCAACTTCACATCATCTGCGAACAGGGACACTTCAGAGTCTATTAATTCCATCATGTCGTTCACATATATCAAAAATAGCTCTGGTCCTAGAACTGAACACTGTGGGACCCCGCTCGTAACAGGCGTCCACTGTGATACCTCTTCACGTACCATGACTCGTTGCTGCCTCCCTGTCAGGTATTCCCTTATCCATTGCAGTGCCCTCCCTTTTACATGCACCTGATCCCCCAGCTTCTGCACTAATCTCTTGTGGGGAACTGTGTCAAAGGCCTTCCTGCAGTCTAGGAAAACGCAATCTACCCACCCCTCTCTCTCGTGTCTTACTTCTGTTACCTTGTCATAAAACTCCAGGAGGTTTGTGATACAGGATTTGCCTTCCATGAACCCATGCTGGTTTTCATTTATAATCTTGTTCCTTTCCAGGTGTTCGACCACTCTCCTCCTGATAATCTTCTCCATGACTTTGCACACAATACATGTCAGAGACACAGGTCTGTAGTTTAGTGCCTCGTTTCTGTTTCCTTTCTTAAATATGGGGACTACATTAGCTGTCTTCCATTTCTCAGGTAGTTGCCCAGTTTCAAGGGATGTGTTGAAGATTGTGGTTAGAGGCACGCACAGCATCTCTGCTCCTTCTCTAAGGACCCATGGGGAGATGTTGTCCGGTCCCATTGCCTTTGAGGTGTCAAGGTCACTTAAGAGCTTTTTCACCTCCTCCTCAGTTGTTCGTATGTCATCCAACACTTGTTGGTATATTCGCTCTTGATGTTCCCTTCTGTGCTGTCTTCCCACAGCCCTTCCTGTCTCTACTGTAAAAACTTCCTTAAATCTCCTGTTCAGCTCCTCACATACCTCCTGATCATTTCTTGTGAGTTCTCCACCTTCTGTCCTTAATCTGATCACCTGGTCTTTGACTGTTGTCTTCCTCCTGATGTGGCTATACAACAGTTTCGGGTCAGTCTTGATTCTCGATGCTATGTCATTTTCATACTGTCGCTGGGCCTCCCTCCTTACCTGTGCATACTCATTCCTGGCTCTGTGACTGATCTCCCTATTTTCGTGTGTTCTCTGCCTTCTGTACTTTTTCCGTTCTTTATTGCACTTTGTTTTTGCCTCCTTACACCGTCGGGTAAACCAGGGGCTCGTTCCGGTATTCCCGTTGTTACTGTTGCCCTTGGGAATAAACTTTTCCACTGCCTCCTTACATTTTGTTGTTACATATTCCATCATTTCACTTACTGGCTTTCCTGCCAGTTCTCTGTCCCACTGGACCTCCTGCAGGAAGTTCTTCAACCCTATGTAGTCCCCTCTTTTATAGTCAGGCTTTTCCCATTCAACTCCTGTTATTCTCTCCACTTGCAGCTCTACTATGTATTCAAAGCACAGAACCACGTGGTCGCTAGCTCCTAGGGGACTCTCATACTTGATGTCCTCAATGTCTGAGCTGCCCAGGGTGAACACAAGGTCCAATCTTGCTGGTTCATCCTCCCCCCTCACTCTGGTAGTGTCCTTAACATGTTGGTGCATGAGGTTTTCCAGCACCACGTCCAACATCCTGGCTCTCCATGTTTCGGGACCCCCATGTGGCTCCAGGTTTTCCCAGTCGATCTCCCTGTGGTTGAAATCCCCCATAACCAGCAACTTTGCTCTATTGGAATGAGCTCTTCTTGCCACCTCAGCAAATGTGTCCACCATTGCTCTGTTGCTCTCTTCATATTCCTCTCTTGGCCTCCTGCAGTTCTGTGGTGGATTATACATCACTGCAATGACCACTTTGTGTTCCCCAGACTGAATTGTACCTGCTATGTAGTCTCTTTCTCCCGTCTCATCTATGCCTTCCATTTTCTCGAATTTCCATCTGTTTTTTTACAAGCAGAGCAACCCCACCTCCCCCCCTGCCCCTTCTATCTTTCCTCATGATCTGGTATCCTGGTGGGAAGAATGCATCTGTTATTGTCTCCGTGAGTTTTGTTTCTGTAACTGCTATGATGTCTGGGGACTTCTCATTGATTCTTTCTTGCCATTCCTCATGTTTATTCGTTAATCCATCTGCATTTGTGTACCAAACCTTCAACTTCTGTTCTAATACTGTAACTGTGGTGCGGGGGGTGGAAACAGAGGGATCGGTGTGTGATGGTTGGTTTGGATTGTTCAGTTGCCTTTGGGGTGTCGTGGCTGGAGTCCTTCTGCAGGTGTTTCTGGGGAGTGTGCTTGTCCTTCCATTTGATCCTGGATTATTCTGCTGTGTGTGTGTGTGTGTGTGTGTGTGTGTGTGTGTGTGTGTGTGTGTGGACTTCTAAATGTGCTGAATCACAGTGTGGTAGCTGTCAAAATGACATATTATACCATCACACCCATGGGGTCCCATGCCTTCTTCCCCACCATCCTTCCTACCTACCTACCTTTCTCTCTTTCTTTATTGCCCTTTCTTTCTTTTATTATTCTCTTTCTTTTATTATTTCTCTTTCTTTTTCTTTCTCTTTCTTTCTTCTGGTATCCTGGGCATTTCTTTCAGTCATAAACTCCTCAAAACCATGAAATTCATCTTCACCGACACTTACATCTGTGTTAGACCTATCACTTGGGAAGAGAAGAGGCCCAGATTCAAAGGGGAGTCAGATATTTCTTACCGCTAGGCATGCTGAACAAGGACTACTGAAATGGCATTCCCACAGTGCACCACTGGCTCCCCGATTTTTTTTTATACTGCTCACACTGACCATGGAGACCCATTCTCTCACATGTGGGCCTACTAGCTTTCTCCTGCTTGATTTGAAGCCGCTAGAATTTTGGCATATTAATACGTCAAAAACATTGGCTCGTAAGATGTATATATACGACCAAAACAGTCAAAAGGTTAAAGTACAGGCATACCTTGCTAATACTACAGGGTAGGTTCCAGACCACCGTCATAAGGTGAATGTCACTTTACAGTGAATCACGGCCTTTTTTTCACTGCTAGTGCATATAGAAGCCTAAGAACATATTCAAACTATCATTAAGGGAGCAATAGCACTAGGCCTAAGAAACGATGCAAAAGTAAAAATAATAAATAAAAATGCTATAGTACTATATTGCTAACCTTAAAATGGCACTGATTAGCTTGTGTGTGCATCACTGCCAAAAATAATAAGCACTAATATAATTGAAGAGCACCTTATTAATGAAACACTCTAAAGCGAGCACCATATTAACGAGGCATGCCTGTACTTGAGTAACAGGTAATGAGTTTCCTGTCTTGGTATCACAGTCCTTAGTATATCCATCTCTGTTTTACAACTGCTTCTACTGTGATTTGGATTACAGGTGGTAGGATTCCTAAGTACTGTAGATTATTAGAACCTGTACATAGAATGGTGTACCATACTACATTTTAAAATCTGAAAAAGTACTTTTTTGTGAAGGATCCTAGGAATCACAGAGATGACTGGCTTCCCATATGAATTGTTTCAGTGTTGGTTATTCGGCTGTCTCCAGCTGGCTTCTGTTTGGCTAAATCTGGTTGTAAAAAATAGGTTTTACAAAAAGAGAAAAATGAGATGGAAGAAGGCATACTGAGCTAAAAGTGGCAGATTATAAACTAAGAATATATATCCTAAGTAGCTCATTAAACAATTTGCATAGTTTTTCTTAATTCAAACTGTAGTATTCTGAGCCATACAGTAATACTTCCATTCCCATTGGGCATGCTGCACAAGATTTTTGGGAAGTAGTGATATTTTTTTAACGCATTCCACTGCACATAATAACAAGTCTCGAGTCTCACAGTTGAGAATTGTAAATCCACCAGAGAACCTTTTGCTACTTCTTGGAAAGGGTGTGCAGTAAAATATTTTAAATACTGAATTAAGTTTAGCACCTATTTGACTGCATGGTGGTTTAACCTATGGGGAGTGCCTTGATGCTTGTATAGGGGTTTTTCATCCAAGGAATTGGAGCTCCATATCCCACTCCTTGGATCAAACCTGATTATCCCTATTTTCCTGGTGCTATTTGAGCCCTCTGGGTTTAGTTTTTCCGCAAGTATATAATAATGACCTGGCCAGCATAATTATGCATTGTGTAGCTCAGTGCAGTATTTGGATGCCTAGTTATTTATGTAACCAGTCTTATTTTACATGTTAAGAGGTAAATGTGTGCGAGTTATCCAGCTCAAGGATTGGTGGAAGCACGATCCTTGACTTATACCACATTTTTACAAGTTAGCAGATGGGTCTATGAAAGATGAGGTGAATCATAGAATTGATGAGGGAAAAAGAGTGAGTGGTGCACTTAGGAGTCTGTGGAGACAAAGAACTTTGTCCTTGGAGTCAAAGAGGGGAATGTATGAGAGTATAGTTTTACCAACGCTCTTATATGGGTGTGAAGCGTGGGTGATGAATGTTGCAGCGAGGAGAAGGCTGGAGGCAGTGGAGATGTCATGTCTGAGGGCAATGTGTGGTGTGAATATAATGCAGAGAATTCGTAGTTTGGAAGTTAGAAGGAGGTGCGGGATTACCAAAACTGTTGTCCAGAGGGCTGAGGAAGGGTTGTTGAGGTGGTTCGGACATGTAGAGAGAATGGAGCGAAACAGAATGACTTCAAGAGTATATCAGTCTGTAGTGGAAGGAAGGCGGGGTAGGGGTCGGCCTAGGAAAGGTTGGAGGGAGGGGGTAAAGGAGGTTTTGTGTGCGAGGGGCTTGGACTTCCAGCAGGCATGTGTGAGTGTGTTTGATAGGAGTGAATGGAGACAAATGGTTTTTAATTATTGACGTGCTGTTGGAGTGTGAGCAAAGTAACATTTATGAAGGGATTCAGGGAAACCGGCAGGCCGGACTTGAGTCCTGGAGATGGGAAGTACAGTGGACCCCCGGTTAACGATATTTTTTCACTCCAGAAGTATGATCAGGTGCCAGTACTGACCGAATTTGTTCCCATAAGAAATATTGTGAAGTAGATTAGTCCATTTCAGACCCCCAAACATACACGTACAAACGCACTTACATAAATACACTTACATAATTGGTCACATTCGGAGGTAATCGTTATGCGGGGGTCCACTGTACAGTGCCTGCACTCTGAAGGAGGGGTGTTAATGTTGCAGTTTAAAAACTGTAGTGTAAAGCACCCTTCTGGCAAGACAGTGATGGAGTGAATGATGGTGAAAGTTTTTCTTTTTCGGGCCACCCTGCCTTGGTGGGAATCGGCCATTGTGATAATAATAATAATTAAAAGTCTTGCATAGCCTTTTTATTTATTCACTGGATACAGTGCAGCCTGATTTGAATGCATTTACTGTGTTAAAACATATTTCTTATTGGCATTTTTGTGAATTAATATCTATTCTAGTTTTCAGAGGATGGATAAAGACAAATGCATTATAATGTGATCCTTTATTGACAATGTTTTGCTCACACAGTGGGCTTTATCAAGACAAACAGATCTGTTTGTGACTTGATAAAGCCCAGTTTGTCAGTAAAGGTTTGCTCTACACTACATTTGTTTCTTTATCCATCTTGTTTGTATTTTATACCATTTCTTTCCACTTTTTAGAGGAGTTGGTGATGCAAAAAACAAAGCCTACTTGGACCACCTGATGAGCCATATATTAGGAACAGTACTTGGTCAGGGCCCTAGAGAAGGAAAGGATCCTGGGCGACTTGAAAGGGAATCATCAGGAAAACCATTGGCAGCAAAACTGAACCCGTACCTGCCACTGATTCCTATCATTCCCCAGAGTTTTATTTTTGCATACCCAACGTGGCTTATTTTACAAGATGGCGGTGAAATAAAGGTAATTTTTTTCCCATAACTCCAATTAGGGCAAGCACCTGACTTTTCTTTTTTTTTAATTTTCTGCTGATTATATTGCTCTTGAACCCAATTGCTGTATTTTTTAGTACAGTTATTTTTGAAGAAATTTTTTTTGTATAAATTTGTAGCAGCCCTTTTTTTTCTTCTTTTGTTGACTAAGCTAAGCATTCCCCTTTATTGCTTTGTATACTTTTATGATCTTGAATGTGGTTATAAAGTCTATCTTCTCCTATTAGCCAACAGGAGCACTTTTAGTGTTTTAAGTTTTCCTGGATTCGTATTTGCATTCTAATTTAGGTTTAATTTTTATAATTTTTTTTCATTCAAATATCTGAAGTTTGCCTCAGTAACATACACATTTCTCACTATTTCATATATTTCATATATTTCATATGTTTCATATATTTCATATGTTTCTGATAGTACTTTAAAACAAGTTCAAGTTTAAAAACTTGAAAGAGGTTTCAAGTTTATAAACATACAGAAACTGAATGATAAACAGAGAGATACAGACCATTTATCTGTTACTTGACTAGTCTCATATTTTGGGAAAGGGGTTGAAAACTGTTTGGTGACACCTGAAAAGTCTTAGGTCTGCAGGATTGCTTGTGAGTTTTTATTTTATTTTATTGCAGATGGAATATTTAAAGTTTGTGGAGCTTGTTAAATGTCCTAGATTGTAGTGTTTGTAATTGTACATTTAATCAAGACTATTTAAAAAATAAAATATTAGACAATACCCTACTGAATAAATTTAAAATAAATATCATGATTAATTTTTAAAGGTAAAACAAATATCCACAGCTTCAAATTGACAACTGCCTTAGTGAGCTGGAATCTGGGGACTTCGGTGATGATGTAAGTATTATTGCACTTTCAGTAATTTTGTAGAAATCAGTTGTAATACTCAAAGTAAAAAATGCTACATGTATATCATTATGGCTGCTAGAGCTTGAGTTATCAAAGTAAATTTATTGACCAGCTTAAAAACACTTAGTGGTCTAAATAGTTCAACATTTGCATGAATCAATTCAGTTTCAAAACAGTATGTTGTCTGTCTCAGTGTGGCAGATATTGTGTGCATTCCCACCTGTAATGTAAATACTCTCCATGACTGACTAAGATTTGCTCCACGAATTTGCCGTCTTGTCACATATCTTTCTGTTGATGTCCTTACCTTAAAATGCCTTCACCTCTCCCTCTGTACCATCACTTGCACCTCTGCTATATACATATGATCCTTATATATGATCCTCATGGATTTAGCACTTTCTATGGGCATAATGTATAATCTCAGACATTAACAAGAATTTGGCAGTTTTGACAAATGCCTAGGTTGTAACACCAGCGAGGAAATAGTTTATGGGTAAAACTATCAAGCATATGTAACAGATTTTATTACACTTGAATTTGTAGGCTAAGAGCTATTATCCTACCTCAGCACATTTCAGACCCTAACCCTATCCTGTGTATATTGTACTACCACCTACTACCCAAGTACCTATTTATTGCTCTGTGTACAGGGGTAACGGGTATATTAAAATGTGCATATTGCAACCCATCCCAGGACTGAGCCTGAGTCCTTGTTGTGAGCCAAATGAGCTATCACTGTGCTACAAGCCACATACAGTGGAACCCTGGTACTCGAACAGCTCCGTACTCGAACATTTTGGTATTTGAACACTTTGTTCAGTGAACAAATCGCTCAATAGTCAACTGTTTGCTCAGCACTTGACCAAACACTCACAACCTGCCAAAACTTCGCTCTAAACTATTTTGTGTTTCCTTGCATTTTTTGGTGTTTTTTATATTATTTGTTTATATAAGTCACCATGGGGCCTAAGAGGGCTAGTGATAACAGTCAACCAAAAAGAAAATTGTTGGGAAAATTTTTTTCGGTACTCGGACAGATTGGCGTTCGAAGGGCCTTCTGGAATGAATTAAGTTTGAATGCCGATGTTCTACTGTATTTGATGTATATTACTCAGACTGTTGTGATTAAGTCATCCTCTAGGTCATACATGACATTTTATACCAAAAGGGCATAAATTATTAATAATCCATGATAAACACATGTTAAATGTCATGGTAGAGAAATGAAGATTCTAGTATACTGCACTCCTTATTAAGGCTGCAAGATACTACTTCCCTAGTTTGATTCTAATTCACCACATGGAGAGTATGCCTCATGTGGGGAAAAGGTCTTTATTCTTAATTTGTTATATAGATAATAGAGTGCTTCTGCTATTTCAGTGACCCACTAGAGAGAGAGAGAGATTTTCCCATTTGACCTATTTTTAGTCTTGGTATGAAGATTATTGACTTTAAACTTAGGCCTACTTAGACATGCATACCTGTAGGCTTTAGACAGGGATGCATGATTTTTTTTTTTTAACATACTGACCATCTCCCACCAAGGCAAGGTGACCTGAAATAGAAGAAACCTTTCACCATCACTGTCTTTAATGAGGAATGCTGATACTACAGTTTTGATACCCCTCCAAACTTCAATATTTCCACCCCTCCTTCAGAGCCCAGGAACTGTACTACCCACCTCCAGAATTCAAGTGCAGCTAACCAGTTTTCTTGAATCCCTTCATAAATGTTACCTTGCTCACATTCCAACACCATGTTAGGTCATAAAAACCACTTGCCTCCACTCACCCTTTTCTAATATGCTTACACACGCATGTTGGATGTCCAAGCCCCTTAGGCACAAAACCTCCTTTACCCCCTCCCTCCAACTTTTCTTAGGATGACCCCTCTACCCTGCCTTCCCTCCGCTACAGAGTTATGCACTCTCTGAATCATCAAATTTTCTCCATCCTCTCTAAATGTTCAAACCACCTCTACAACTCTTCAGCCCTACAGATTCTCTGGATAATATTTACATTATATTATTCACCATGGTTGTTTAGCATATTTTTAGATAGGGTTGTAAAAGAAGTGAATGTTAGGTTGTTGGGGAGAGGTGTGGGATTCAAAGACAAAGGATCTAATACTAAGTTTCAGTTGTCACAGTTGCTTTTTGCCAATAACATGGTGTTTTTTGGAAATTCTTTAGAGAAGCAACAAAGGTTGGTAGACAAATTTGGGAGGGTATGTAAAAGAAGATTAAAAGTGAACATAGGAGAGAGCACAGTGATGAGATTTTGTATGCAAGGGGCTTGGACATTCAACAGTCATGTGTGAGTGTGTTAGATAGGAGTGAGTGGAGCAAGTGGTTTTTATGATTTGATGTGCTGTTTCAGTGTGAACAAGGTAACTTTCATGAAGGGATTCAGGAAAACTGGTTATCCAGACTTGAGTTCTGGAGGTGGGAAGTACAGTGCTTGTGCTCTGAAGGGTGGAAATATTGCATTTTGGAGGAGCAATGAGCTGTAAAGTCGGGACGCCTATGGCAAGATGGTGATGGTGAGCGTTTCTTGTTTTTTGGGTCTCCCTGCCTCTGTGGGAGATGGCAGATGCATCATATTTCGATTATATGTAAATATTTAACTCTATAATCATAGTTATCAAAATTTCTGTGGTAAAAATGAGTGCTTCAATTTCAGGATTCTGATTATGAGGAATCACTGTCCCTATACAGTATATTGGGTTGCTGCTTATTCTATAAGGTAAGATATAGCGTTTAAACCTTACATTCAAGTGTAGGAAGAAACTAATACAACTTGATTATTTAATCAGCTCTACAAGATTCATTCACAGATCCTTTCTGTTTGGAGAATAAGACTTTTTTACAGTGATCATATTCTTGGTTGTAAATTTGCATTGGTGGAATAATGTGTAGTGTAATTACTTGTTCATAGCTATAAGAGCAGTGCTCTTATAGCTATGAACATCTTCATTAATTAATTCATAATGTAATTTCTTTAATTTCCAAGACAAAGTACCAATGCTGTTAATGCAAAAGTGTTGTGAGTCAGAATGGCTAGGTTGGGGCTTAACTGTACTCTGATATATTCTCTTCCTTGGATCAGACTTGATTACTTCCCATTCTCCAGGTGCTTTATGATTCATATGGTTTCAATACTTCCTCATAAATATAATAATAATGGTTGAAGAATCTTTGGGAAAAAAAAGATTGTCAACAAATGCAGAATACAAAATATATGTCAATATAATAGTGCCAACACTTTAACTGGGTATGAAACATGGTCTTTGAAAGCTGCATGAGGAGCAGTCTGGAGGAAGTGGAAATGTTTGGTCAGTGATCAGTAGGATGTAACTTGTGCATAGTACACTATAAGGAATTCATATAAGAGAAGATATTTTTTAATTTCAGCATGATACAGTGTTTGTACAGAAATGGGTGAAAGTAATAGTATAAGAAGTATAAACCACAGAACTGAAGAGAGGAGTGCAATAATATTGTTTTAAATTTTTTTGTTTCTTTAGCATATGCTGTGCTGCAGTTAAACATTTTTCACATTCATTAGGGCCATCTTGTAGCATCTCATTTGTCATCTGAGGATCTGAGACATGTTTGGCTCTTTACTTGTCACCATGGCCTTCAGTCTCTCACCACCCATGAGTCGGTCAGTCAGCTGGTGGCCTGGCGGTCAGTGTACCCACCAGGAGAGATGAGCACTGCCAGGGACGACAGGATTAAACATTACCTCCTCGTAGTTGCAATGGTAAGCTATGTTATTGAGTGTTAAGCTGATAAGAAATTATATAATAAATTGAAAAGTATACCTTATTTTTTGGTTTGCTTTGTTTTGTTATATATATTTTAATGCCTCAAGAATAATTTTAATTGCATTTGATATGGCCAGATTTGTAAGCTTTGTAATTTGTGTTTCAATTATCCACTGTTTTTGGTACAGGCAGTGCCCCTGTCTTTGGTGCTAGGCACATAATCTTTAAATTGAAAATTAACCATAGGATTTTCTTCATTAGCATTCTTTTTTAATTTGTGCAAGCACACCTTCAGTTTAGGTACTTCTGTATAAATTAATCTTTCAGGCTTCACCAAATAGAGTAAGTTCATTAATGTACATGTAAATATGTTCCTAGACTTTCTTTCTACTTGCCATAAACCCATTAGCTAGGCTGTGACAGTGGTTTTGATTCCTTGTTTCTAAACAAATAAATGGGTGTGTTCTAGTTTTATTCACAGAGTATTTATTTTATGTTATGTGATATGTAATCTTCCATCATAACATGAGCGAGACAAAATTTTCTACTCGTTACAGAACCACTGCATCCTTGGTCTGCTTCTTGAAGCTGGAGGAGTAACCGAATTGTACGTAAATGAAAGCAGAAGTTTTTTTGTGTGTGGGTTTTGATGAACCCCTTGGATCACAACTTGTCTGTTATTGCCTACTAAACCACCAGTTTAAAGACCTTATTACTTTTAGCTCAATAGGGTCTTTTCTTCATTTTCTGTAGAATGCTTGTTTTCTGTAATAGTTCTGGGGACTGTCCCTATACCATCAGCCCATTTTCAGTCTGTGTCATTGGTCAAGTATACCTGTTATTCATTATAGATACTCTCTAAACAAGATTATGCACTAACCCTATGTTAGTGTTTATATTAGGTCCAGTGGTTCCTGAAAATAATGGCATACTGCTGGGAATAGTGAAGCAAAGACATTTTTGCACAATGTGCTTTTTATCAGAGTAGTGTTTTACTCTGTTAGAACTACATCAGGTCATGTTGGGGAGACAAAATGCATACTGTACATGTATATATGTATGATCTTGGTGTAGCAGTAGAAGCAGGTGAGAGCAATGTAGATGTGGGGTGAAATCATTGGAGTATGATGACTTGTGGGTCTGTGGAACTATGCAGTATGTATGTTCATTGGTTGATAATGTTGAAATGCTGCTTGTACATTGCTGTATGTACGTTGGTTGATAATGTTAAAATGCTGATATCTGCATTGAATGTTTTGCCTCAACTCTGTTGCTAAAACTGTTACTGTATTATATGTGTTTGTGGATTGGCTAAGCTACAAGGGCTTTAGGTTTGTTCATTGGTGTTATGTATTTTATTATAAGCAACTTCTAGACATTTGGTTCTGCCCCTTTCTTTGATGGCAAATTTGGCATCTTGCCCTTCCATAAGGTGTGAATATTTATCTTGATAAACTATGCATCTGTTGTTAGAATTGTAAGCTCTCAGAGATAGTTCCGGAAATTTTACATAGGAGGAGCTTAGGGGTGACAATTTGGTTGGAAGAGGGGAGGCAGCAGCAGCTTTGTTGTTTGATTGTTGTTGGTGGTGTTTATTTGATTGTTATTGGTGGTGTTGTAGGTAGTAGGTTGGTAGACAGCAACCGCCCAGGGAGGTACTACCGTCCTGCCAAGTGAGTGTAAAACGAAAGCCTGTAATCGTTTTACATGATGGTAGGATTGCTGGTGTCTTTTGTCTGTCTCATAAATATGCAAGATTACAGGTAAGTCTTGCTACTTCTACTTACACTTAGGTCACACTACACATACATGTACAAGCATATATATACACACCCCTCTGGGTTTTCTTCTATTTTCTTTCTAATTCTTGTTCTTGTTTATTTCCTCTTATCTCCTTGGGGAAGTGGAACAGAATTCTTCCTCTGTAAGCCATGCGTGTCGTAAGAGGCGACTAAAATGCCGGGAGCAAGGGGCTAGTAACCCCTTCTCCTGTATATATTACTAAATTTAAAAGGAGAAACTTCAGTTTTTTCTTTTGGGCCACCCCACCTCAGTGGGATACGGCTGGTACGTTGAAAGAAGAAGAATTGGTGGTGTTTATTTGAAGGCTTTGGTGCCACCCGTGAGTCCTGCAAGCATTTTGGTGTTCTTGAATTCAGATGTTTAGGTTGCATGAAATCTCACCAATGTACTGTTTATCATAACTACCACTGGCAGTTGTGTATACTCCAGCATTAATGGTTTCCTGGCTGTTGTGCTTTTGTTGGTGACATCTCTAGTAGTTTTGGAGGTGATGACTTGGACATTCCTTTTACTGGAATGACAGCTCTATAAAGCGTGATGACATATATGTCATCCTTTGGGTCACACTACTTTTATGGGAAATGGTCAATGTTATAAAAAACACAATCAGAGGAAATTTGAATACTCATGTTTAATACATAATATGTACTTGTAACAGTGTGTGCATGTGTGTTTTATAATTAATAATTCTTTTGATATTCAAAATTTAATGGGGAGTTTCAATTGATGTTGGTTATTGTGGCTTTGTATGATAGTATTTGTGTTGAAGTTTAATTCATGTTCATAGCTTTTCTTGTTTGTTAATTTTATCTTTATTTTTACTGTGAATCATGTTTAAAATTTATATTTTTTTAGTATGAGCACTGAGTAACCAACATGGCCAAAGTGCTCTGTAAACATCATGACTATTACTGCTATACTACTACTACTTGTAACAGTGTAGATGAAGGAGCTGGTCCAGATCCATTTCTTGTGGACCAGGCTGAGGCTTCTCTGTATCAACTTCATGCACTCCACGTTAACACAGTGTGTGAGGAGAGGTTAGTCCTAATGCCTTTTAAGTAACTTTTGCTGAATTAATAAATTATTTACCCATTCTTATTATATTTTCTTTAACTTGTGTACAGTATATACACTGAGATATGTATCTGTGTATATACACTGTGAGATGTGTCTCCCTGCATATACACAGAGCTGTATGTCTCTCAATATATGTATGTATGTGTGGGCTAGTAACCCCTTTTCCTGTAAAGATTACTAAAAAGAATAAGAAGAAGAAAATTGTCAAAGTGGGAAGTCTGAATGTGCGTGGATGTTGTGCAGATGATAAGAAAGAGATGATTGTGGATGTTATGAATGAGAAGAAGCTGGATGTCCTGGCTTTAAGTGAAACAAAGCTGAAGGGGGTGGGAGAGTTTCAGTGGAGAGGAATAAATGGGATTAGGTCAGGGGTTTCAAATAGAGTTAGAGCTAAAGAAGGAGTAGCAATAATGTTGAAGGATAAGCTATGGCAGGAAAAGAGGGACTATAAATGTATTAATTCAAGGATTATGTGGAGTAAAATAAAGATTGGATGTGAAAAGTGGGTTATAATAAGCGTGTATGCACCTGGAGAAGAGAGAAGTGTAGAGGAGAGAGAGAGATTTTGGGAAATGTTGAGTGAATGCGTGGGGAGTTTTGAATCAAGTGTGAGAGTAATGGTGGTTGGGATTTTAATGCTAAAGTGGGTAAAAATGTTATGGAGGGAGTAGTAGGTAAATTTGGGGTGCCAGGGGTAAATGTAAATGGGGAGCCTTTAATTGAGCTATGTGTAGAAAGAAATTTGGTAATAAGTAATACATATTTTATGAAAAAGAGGATAAATAAATATACAAGGTATGATGTAGCACGTAATGAAAGTAGTTTATTAGATTATGTATTGGTGGATAAAAGGTTGATGGGTAGGCTCCAGGATGTACATGTTTATAGAGGGGCAACTGATATATCGGATCATTATTTAGTTGTAGCTACAGTTAGAGTAAGAGGTAGATGGGAAAAGAGGAAGGTGGCAACAACAAGTAAGAGGGAAGTGAAAGTGTATAAACTAAGGGAGGAGGAAGTTCGGGTGAGATATAAGCGACTATTGGCAGAAAGGTGGGCTAGTGCAAAGATGAGTAGTGGGGGGGTTGAAGAGGGTTGGAATAGTTTTAAAAATGCAGTATTAGAATGTGGGGCAGAAGTTTGTGGTTATAGGAGGGTGGGGGCAGGAGGAAAGAGGAGTGATTGGTGGAATGATGAAGTAAAGGGTGTGATAAAAGAGAAAAAGGTAGCTTATGAGAGGTTTTTACAAAGCAGAAGTGTTATAAGAAGAGCAGAGTATATGGAGAGTAAAAGAAAGGTAAAGAGAGTGGTGAGAGAGTGCAAAAGGAGAGCAGATGATAGAGTGGGAGAGGCACTGTCAAGAAATTTTAATGAAAATAAGAAAAAATTTTGGAGTGAGTTAAACAAGTAAGAAAGCCTAGGGAAAATATGGATTTGTCAGTTAAAAACAGAGTAGGGGAGTTAGTAGATGGGGAGATGGAGGTATTGGGTAGATGGCGAGAATATTTTGAGGAACTTTTAAATGTTAAGGAAGAAACAGAGGCAGTAATTTCATGCACTGGTCAGGGAGGTATACCATCTTTTAGGAGTGAAGAAGAGCAGAATGTAAGTGTGGGGGAGGTACGTGAGGCATTACGTAAAATGAAAGGGGTAAAGCAGCTGGAACTGATGGGATCATGACAGAAATGTTAAAAGCAGGGGGGGATATAGTGTTGGAGTGGTTGGTACTTTTGTTTAATAAATGTATGAAAGAGGGGAAGGTACCTAGGGATTGGCAGAGAGCATGTTATAGTCCCTTTATATAAAGGGAAAGGGGACAAAAGAGACTGTAAAAATTATAGAGGAATAAGCTTACTGAGTATACCAGGAAAAGTGTACGGTAGGGTTATAATTGAAAGAATTAGAGGTAAGACAGAATGTAGGATTGCGGATGAGCAAGGAGGTTTTAGAGTGGGTAGGGGATGTGTAGATCAGGTGTTTACATTGAAGCATATATGTGAACAGTATTTAGATAAAGATAGGGAAGTTTTTATTGCATTTATGGATTTAGAAAAGGCATATGATAGAGTGGATAGAGAGCAATGTGGCAGATGTTGCAAGTATTGGAATAGGTGGTAAGTTATTAAATGCTGTAAAGAGTTTTTATGAGGATAGTGAGGCTCAGGTTAGGGTGTGTAGAAGAGAGGGAGGGCTACTTCCCCGGTAAAAGTGGTCTTAGACAGGGATGTGTAATGCACCATGGTTGTTTAATATATTTATAGATGGGGTTTTAAAGGAAGTAAATGCTAGGGGTTTGGGAGAGGGGGGGGGATTAAATTATGGGGAATCAAATTCAAAATGGGAATTGACACAGTTACTTTTTTGGCTGATGATACTGTGCTTATGGGAGATTCTAAAGAAAAATTGCAAAGGTTAGTGGATGAGTTTGGGAATGTGTGTAAAGGAGAAAGTTGAAAGTGAACATAGAAAAGAGTAAGGTGATGAGGGTTGTCAAATGATTTAGATAAAGAAAAATTGGATATCAAATTGGGGGGGAGGAGTATGGAAGAAGTGAATGTTTTTTAGATACTTGGGAGTTGACGTGTCGGCGGATGGATTTTTTGAAAAGGATGAGGGTTTTTTCATAGAATTGATGAGGGAAAAAAGGTGAGTGGTGCGTGAGGTATATGTGGAGTCAAAAAACGTTTTTCTATGGAGGCAAAGAAGGGAATGTATGAAAGTATAGTAGTACCAACACTCTTATATGGGTGTGAAGCTTGGGTGGTAAATGCAGCAGCGAGGAGACGGGTTTGGGGGCAGCGGAGATGGGCTTGTTTAAGGGCAATGTGTGGTGTAAATATTATGCAGAAAATTCGAGTGTGGAAATTAAAGGAGAAGGTGTGGAGTTTAATAAAAGTATTAGTCAGAGGGCAGAAGAGGGGTTGTTGAGGTGGTTTGGTCATTTAGAGAGAATGGATCACAGTAGAATGACATGGAAAGCATATAAATCTATAGGGGAAGGAAGGCGGGGTAGGGGTCGTCCTCGAAAGGGTTGGGAGAGAGGGGGTAAAGGAGGTTTTGTGGGGTAAGGGGCTTGGACTTCCAGCAAGCGTGCGTGAGCGTGTTAGATAGGAGTGAATGGAGACGAATGGTACTTGGGACCTGACGATCTGTTGGAGTGTGAGCAGGGTAATATTTAGTGAAGGGATTCAGGGAAACGGTTATTTTCATATAGTCGGACTTGAGTCCTGGAAATGGGAAGTACAATGCCTGCACTTTAAAGGAGGGGTTTGGGATATTGGCAGTTTGGAGGGATATGTTGTGTATCTTTATATGTTTATGCTTCTAGACTGTTGTATTCTGAGCACCTCTGCAAAAACAGTGATAATGTGCGAGTGTGGTGAAAGTGTTGAATGATGATGAAAGTATTTTCTTTTTGGGGATTTTCTTTCTTTTTTGGGTCACCCTGCCTCGGTGGGAGACGGCCGACTTGTTGAAAAAAAAAAAAAAAAAAAAAAATGTGTGTGTATTGTGTGTGTGTGTGTGTGTGTGTGTGGTGTGTGTGTGTGTGTGTGTGTGTGTGTGTGTGTGTGTGTGTACTCACCTAGTTGAGGTTGCAGGGTCAAGTCCAAGCTCTGGCCCCGCCTCTTCACTGGTTGCTACTATTTCACTCTCCCTGAATCGTGAGCTTTATCATAACTCTGCTTTATCTTGTGTGTGTGTGTGTGTGTGTGTGTGTGTGTGTGTGTGTGTGTGTGTGTGTGTGTGTGTGTGTGTATGTGTGTATGTATGTATGCAAAACAACCACTGTGAAAGAATAGAGAAATTCCAAGCGCTTTCGTGACTACTCACATTGTTCCTTGATAAAGTGAGTAGTCACGAAAGTGCTTGGATTTCTCTATTCTTTCACAGTGGTTGTTTTACATATTCTGAAATCACCTGTTTACTGTTATCTTATTGCATATATATATACATTTTTTTTTTTCAACAAACCAGCCGTATCCCACCGAGGCAGGGTGGCCCAACAAGAAAAACAAAAGTTTCTCTTTTTAAATTTAGTAATTTATACAGAAGGGGATACTAGCCCCTTGCTCCCAGCATTTTAGTCGCCTCTTACAACACGCATGGCTTACGGAGGAAAAATTCTGTTCCACTTTCCCATGGAGATAAGAGGAAATAAACAAGAACAAGAACTAGAAAGAAAATAGCAGAAAACCCAGAGGGGTGTGTGTATATATATGCTTGTACATGTATGTGTAGTGTGACCTAAGTGTAAGTAGAAGTAGCAAGACGTACCTGAAATCTTGCATGTTTATGAGACAATAAAAAGGACACCAGCAATCCTACCATCATGTAAAACAATTACAGGCTTTCGTTTTACACTCACTTGGCAGGATGGTAGCACCTCCCTGGGTGGTTGCTGTTTACCAACCTACTACCTGTAAGATATATATACAGTGGACCCCCGCATAACGATATTATTTCAATCCAGAAGTCTGTTTGGGTGCCGTTATAGACCGAATTTGTTCCCATAAGAAATATTGTGAATTAGATTAGTCCGTTTCAGACCCCCAAAAATACACCTACAAAAGCACTTACAAAAATACACTTACATAATTGGTCGAGTTGGGAGCTGATCGTTATGCGGGGGTCCACTGTATATATATATCTTCTTTCTTTCAACACACCGGCCATATCCCACCGAGGCGGGGTGGCCCAAAAGGAAAAACAAAAGTTTCTCCTTTCAAATTTAGTAATATATACAGGAGAAGAGGTTAGTAGCCCCTCGCTCCCGGCATCCTAGTTGCATCCTACAACACGCATGGCTTACGGAGGAAGAATTCTGTTCCACTTCCCCATGGAGATAAGAGGAAATAAACAAGAACAAGAACTAGAAACAAAATAGCAGAAAACCCAGAGGGGTGTGTGTACATATATGCTTGTACATGTATGTGTAGTGTGACCTAAGTGTAAGTAGAAG